ATGTGTGTGTGTGTGTGTGTGTGTGTGTGTGATGGGCACACACTAGTTACGGCTGCTTCCAGCGCGCCGTCCTCTGCATTTACGGTTCGCTTCGGATGCGCGGGGCCACATCACGTAATCGGCGCCGAACCACGCACGCATGCATTCTCTCTCTCTCTCTCTCTCTCTCTCTCTGGGATTAAGGCCCCGCGACGCTCTACGCTGCGCGAGGCTACGCGAGGCCGGCCCTCTCCACGCTGCTGCAGCAGGGCCAGTTTTAGGCGCGGCATGTAGTCATCAGATAAGACCCCCCGGCGGCCCGGCCCAGCCCGCCCCGCATCGCCCGCCCCGCCGCCATGACCTTCGGACCCGCACACACTCACACTCACACACACACACTCACACACACACACACACACACACCCACACACACACACACACACACACACACACACACACCAATTATTCACTATTTATAACGCGGGCACACGCGGGTAAAAACACAATCATGAGCGGCCAGTTTAGCCGGTCGCTCTGGCCGATGCAGGCCGATGCAGGCCTAGGCAGGCATTGACCGGCCGAGCCGCTCACTCCGTGCCTCCACAGTGGAGTCCACACACAGGCCGCCCGGCCGCCCGGCTGGGGCACAGTGTGGTTCGGGTTCCCCCGGCTCGGCTCGGCTCTCTGCCCCGGCCATCGGCCACGGCGCGGCGGGTAGGACGACGGCCAGCACACTGATTCCGAGAGTCGTTTTCGTCGCTCCGTCTCTCTCGCACTCGTGGGGCGTCTCGTATGGGCGCGAGAGAGACGGAGCGACGAAAACGACTCTCGGAATCAGTCTGCTGGCCGCGATAGGCCCCGGACAGTACAATAGAGGCTCTTGTCATGTGCACCGCCACGTGCACCCATCCGTCCCGCGTCCAGCATTGACGCGCGCACACACGCACACACACAGCACGTACGCATAAAGGACATACACCACCCGAGTGTGGACCACACGTACATTTCCATGCGCCGTGTGGCAGAGGTGTTTAGCGCTGGCCCTCGCGTCACACACACACACACACACATGCTCACGCACACACGCACACAATAGGGCGGGGGGAAGGGCCGCGTGTTTGGAATACTGAGGGGCGACCGGCGGCGACCCCGTATACCACACACACACACACACACACACACTGGCGCTCACTCACAGCAGGCGCACACATGCACAGAGTCATCAACATTACATCATGATCGTTGAGTCAATCAGCCCCGTCGATGAGTGTGTGCATAACATATGGCGAGTGAGGGAGCATCGCACCACGCTGCCATCATCGCCCGCCGACATCATCACGACTGTATAGTAGTATATCACCGATTTTCGATATTTCGTCATTTTCGCTGCGTCTGCGCGGACATCGTCCAACCAAACCGCATACTCCGCCGAGCGGGCTGCTTACATTCGCGACCACGAATCACCTGCCCACGCCGAAGACGCGCCGCCCGAGCGCCTTGTGTGTGTGTGTGTGTGTGTGTGTGTGCCTGCGCGCGCGCGCGTGCGAGTGTGGGTGTGGCGATCGCATCGTGCGCCTTTACGTACAGCCTTTCACCTTCACGCCGCGACACACCGGCGACACGCGTGGGCTGCTGCTCGCAGTCACGTGACTTGTGACACGACACGCGCGTGTCGCTGTATGCCCGTCCGTGTCTGCCGCGTCTTTGTGTGTGTGTGTGTCTGTTTGCGGTCACATTCGTTAAGCGCGCGCGCACGCATACGTACACCAACACCAACGCACGCGCACACACCCAACACAAACACACACACACACTCGGTGACGAGCGTTGTGTTATGCAGCCGGAATGGCAGCAAAAACGCGCCCGGTAACGCGCACCCGCGACACACACACACGTGAGGGTGGGAAAATTTGATATCACGCCGACGGTGTGGGCCTTCTCAGCCTTCCGACGGGTTTAGCGTTACGCCGGATGCGCCGGGGTGGCCGAGGTGGGCGCCGGAAGTCGTGGCCTCGAGGTCCCCGACGACGGCGTCCACGGCGGCGGGGGTGGCGGCGAGCGGGGCGAGGCCAGAGCAGCGTGCCCGGCCGCCCCTAGGTGCCATCCCCAGACAAGGGCGGGAAATAAGAAAAGGGAGGCAAGGGCGCACTTCCGGCCTGGAGCTCCGGGGCCCCGGGGCTTGGCATGGAACCCGGAAGCGATGAATGGCGGCCACAAAAAGTGCAGAATGAAAACGCGTGCCAAACGGCCTTCCACGCCGCCCCCGCCCGCTGCAGCGCGCAGCCCGCCGTGCCGTGGTACCTGTCTGCGACGGGGCGGGGCGGGGCGGGGCGGGGCGGGGTGCGGCGGGATCACCCTGTACTACACAATGGAATGGCCCATCTCGCGACGAACGGCGCCACTCCAATAGCACCGCCGCCGCGGAGCACCGCGCGGGGCGTCCACCTTTGACCCCGCCGACCGCCCCGCCCCGCCCCGCCCCGCCCCGCCCCGCCCCGCCCAGGTTCGGCCCCAACCTCGTCAAAGTTACAGAGGAACCCTTGCCAAAAGGAAGCGGGGAGTCAGCGGAACGCGGCGCCCCCGGGCGGGCAAGGCCCTGGCCGCCCTGGCCGCCCCCACGGCCCCCGGGGAAGCCCGGAAGGCAAACGACCGGAAGTAGAGTAGCCGGGGCTGCTGGTGCGGCTGGAGCGGCGGCGGCCCACGGCCTCAGACAAGGTAGCAGGGACTGACTTGGCGTCGCGCCAGCGAAGCCGCCAGGCCAAGCCGCCAGGCCCACCAGGGCAGCAAAGTTAAGCCAAGCCGCCCACCCCATTCGCCATTCCCATCGGATTAAGGTCCCTCCGGTGACCCAGTGGAGTTAGTTACCATAGCGCGCTGTATCACCGCGCAGCCCGAGCTGTCAGCCGCCGTCTTTAGGTCAAAACGTCGTGCTGCCAAGCAGGCAGCCAGGCAGCAGCGCACACTATGTAAATGATTGGTTCAATCCCGAGCGCGGAGTACGCGGCGCGGCGGGCGGGGACCCTCGCGCTTTACTGCTCAAGGGAACGGGCCCAAGGTAAGAGGCTGGCCAAGGTCGCGTCGAGTGGATCGGACGGCATGGCAGTGTGGTGGCACGGCGGCGGCAGGCCCGGTAGGCCGGCGGCAGCGCCACGGCAGCGCCGCCTACAAGATGTCCCGCCCGGTTTGGCAACGCTGGAGAGAGTGGGTTGAAGCGCGGGGCCCGGCGGGGCCGGGCGGGGCCCGGCGAGCGGCAAAGGAGCAAGCCCGATCAGATTGCGAGGAAAACGGGCGCCGTGTCGGAAATTTAAAGATACAAGCTTCGATTGATCAGTCATTCATCGCTCATGCTGCGCTTGGCTCGACACCACGTGTGGGTTCACTTTGTGCACACCACGCGTCATGCGGCATGTACTGAACTTAAGCAGACTACTGTACAAAGTATGTCCCAGGATATTTTTTAGTGTATGAGGACAAGCACCCACTATTTTGTGTGAAATCATTTTACTATCTCATCTGCTGCCATCAACACTACCCCTCCTGCGTCCTGAGGATGTGTATTCGTATCGATGCCAGTGGCTGATTTCACACGGAATTTCGATTTCGAGAAGTTGGTTTCGAGATCGAGATGGCGTGTCCCTTCCCGGCGCTGGCCGCCAGGACGACCTACAAGTTGAGTTCCCGCGCCAAGTGTCACATTTCCCCTCCTCCGGTGAAACTGGGACGCCAAGTGTACAGCGAAATTCCCCTCCCCCGGTAAACTTTCGCCTTAAATGTCGCTAACAATCGGAAAAGCGCGGCCAGGATAACAAGGAGAAAGAAAGGCACAAAACTAAACTAATTTTCTAAACTGATCCCGGGCAAAACCCCTATCGCGGCCCCCGCCCCCTTTTTTCAGCGAGCTACTTGTGAAGACGTGAGGATCCCGTGTGACTCTCGCAAAGAGAACGAGAAAGAGGGAGAGAGACACGGCGAGGAGGGCGCAGGAGGCAGGGAGGGAGAGAGTGAGAGAGAGCAGGGGAGATCAATGTCTCAAATAAATAAAAAGGCCGCTCCCGCTCCACCCCTTCTAAAGCCAACCCATATCCGGGCCCCTTCGCCCCGTGCCTCCGCGTCCCACTCCCCCAGTGGCCTGGCCATGGCCTGCTGAAGCTCGACGAGGGACTAGCCCTTGCAAAACAACTGGGCGGCCGCAGCGCGTCTTCGGGTCTTTAAAGGCCCCAGAAAAAGCCACGACCATCTTTTCCCTTTTCTTGCACTCGTCTTCTTCAGAGGGTTTTGGCCCCGTGTGCTCGATATTTTTTGGCAACACGGAGAGCGTTGTGCGTTTCAACCAAGACAGTTGCTCAACAAAAATAAGATCCAACTAAAAACGTACAAGTCACTGACATCAAAATTGATAAAAATTAAAGTTGACCTAGGTAAAAATTCTCGGGAATTACGAAAAACGCAGATTTTGCGTCGTTCGACAAACAGAACGAGATCTCTTAAAATTTTGGCGGGATGCAGTGAGAGATCTCGCGAGAATAACGAGATGCAATAAAATTGTTCATTCAATTTAATCCGAGTGTTTTCAAACCTATAATCGATCGATGAGGTGGTTCAGATTCTATTTTGACAGTGTAGTCCAGGGCGAGGCATTGTCTGCCCGCCGGGACGCAATAGCCGCTAGGCAACCCGCAGCACGGCGGCGTGCCCGGCTGTTGAGGCAGACCCTGCAAGGACTGATTCCGGGAGTCGTTTTCGTCGCTCTGTCTCTCTCGCACCTAGAGGGAACGCCCCATGAGTGCGAGAGAGACAGAGCGACGACTGTCGGCTCGGTTGGAAACACGACAACGGCGCATAATGACCGCGGGCCGAGTCAAGATGGGGGGGACGGCCCATGGGCCTGGCCGGCCTGACCGCCGGGACTGCGAACTTGTTGCCGAAGGTGTTGGCCTACACTGTCCTGGACACTGTCCCGGGCACAGCCTCGGCCCAACAGAACGCCCGCGGCACTCCAAAATAGAAGCGAAGATGTTTACCTTGTTGAGCAGCTCGTCCAGGGACTCCATGTCGGCGGTGGTGTAGTTGTTGTTGCTGCCCGGCTGCACCATGAAGGTGGCGTTGGTGGCGGCGGGCTGCGCTGGCCGGCCCGGCCCCAAGGGGTGGCTGGCGGCGGAGCGACCCACCGCCTCCGTGGTGCTGATGGTGAACACCTTGGCTAGCGCCGCGCTATGCGCGGCATTACTCTCTCACAAATTCAGAGACCGGCTTGCCGGTCAGGGGGGCTGCAACAGGAGACACCAAGTCAGACGGGGCCGTCTGCTTCGTGGCCAGCTCCGTGTGCAGTCTGTGCCGGGCCGTCAAGCCGCCAACCCCAGCAGCGAGTTGCCTAGTTTAATAATCCCACAATCAGAGCCCCGCTTCCCGCCGGCCCCTTTTCTCGCAGACAACCCCTCCCCCCCCCCCCTCTCTCCCTCTCTCAGGGTTTTGTGCGGTCATCCCGGCCCGGGGCCCTCCGGCAAAAACCAGAGCCCCACCCCGCGGCCTGCCCCCCCTGCCGCCAGCTAATAGCGCCCTAACGAGGCTCCGTGCCCCGACGAGCCCCGATTCAGACCAGTTGTGTCGCCGCTCTGTCTCTCTCGCTCCGCGACGGGCCGGCCCGCCAGTGCGAGAGGGACACGGCGAGGGACTGGGCCTGCAGCCTGGGCGAGAAGGGTCTTCAGGGCGGCCACAGCGCGCGCCATCAGCTGACGCATTAAATTCGGACAAGACAAAAACGTCTCGCGGTGGTGCATGACGAAGGAGGACGGCCAGCCTTGCCGCCCCACCTGCCGCCCGTCCATGGCGTGCCAGTGGGTGGCAGGGGCGTGCCAGTGGCGTGCCAGTGGCGTGCCGCCGGAAGTCTCCTAGGCGTGGCCATATTTGCTCAAGCAGCACATGAGGCATGCTGTCTGCCCAGCAGGGCGGCGTCGCCGTCGTCAAGGGCGTCCTCGAGGATGCACGCCCACACGCAGCTCGCCGCCACACCGCGAGGCACCGCCAGGGCACCGCGGGGCAAAGGATGCAGCGGCTCCCCTTCTTAAATTTAAACCGGCGTCGCCAAGGGCCTGCCGCCTCCACTTCACCGCCTTCCTTCCTCCACGGCCCGACGCAGCGTGCACCGCGCCGTGCATTTCCTGCGCCTTCTAAATACGGCACTGCCACTGCCGCGCCGCGTTGGCAGTGCCCCTCCCAGAGTACCTTGGGCCAGCCAGCAGGCTCATTCCGAGAGTCGTTCTCGTCGCTCTGCCTCTCTCGCACTCGTGGGGCGTTTGGGTGCGAGGGAGGCAGAGCGACGAAGACGCCTCTCGGCATCCGTCTGCAGAGGCGGCGGCGCCGAGATGACGTCCGGTCCACTCGAAACGGAACGACTGTGCGTCTGGGGAGTTTTCAGCCGTCAGTTCGGAAGGAAAGCCGGGAAAGCGACGTGAGGCGCGCTGCACTGTTAACGAGACGCGCCCCGGGACGGTTCCACACTGCTAGGGAAACCCGTTCCACGCGGAGCCGGCGGTCATAGGTGGTCGGAAGGCACAGGCAACGTCGGCGCGTTGGTCGTAAACAATTCCGTTTATTTTTCCGGCCGGCGACACAGCACTCGTCTCCGGCCTGCCGGCTGATTCACGTTTACGACCGTTATCACATCGCCGGGGAGGAACATTCAGCCACAATGAATCACAAGCGTGTGTGTGTGTGGACACCGCGGCGACCCTCGCCTCGCGGACACCTCGCGGACGCGCTCAACAAGTCCACCATTCTGGACGGAGCCTCGGGAAGCCGGCGGGTCCATCCCAGTCCATCCCACTCGACGCGGCCTCGCGGCCCTCGCGGCCACCTTTGACCCGGACAGCCGAATCCCGCGGTGCAGCCTTCCGGGTCGTTGGCACCGATTCACGGAAAGGTCGTTACAGACTGAGAGTCGTTTTCGTCGCTCTGTCTCTCTCGCCACCTGCACAGGGCGCCCCCATGAGTGCGAGAGAGACAGAGCGACTCTCGGAATCAGTCCTGCAGCCCACGGCCGCGGCGAAGCGGCAGGCGAAACCGAGCCAAACGTTTCCAACATTTTATATTAAATGCACTCGACTCGCGTGACGGCGAACGAACGAACGAACGCAGCCGTCATTTCGCGAGGGCAGCGGGGAAAGGAGCGTATCTTCTGCGGTTTCCCCCAAGCAGGCACACTGTTGCGAGGGCGCGCCGCACTCCAGCCGAGACTCCAGCGTCCTGCCGATAGCGTCGATGGCCCCCGCGCACGCGACGGCCGTGTTCGCAGGACGCCACTATTCGCAGCGTGAGTCCAGCAGTGCTGTCTCTGTCGCACTCTCTTCGGACCGCCCCCTGAGTGCGAGAGAGCAGCAATGCTCGGGCTGCTGAAGTACGGGCGTCCGCCATGGCGCGCCAATACCACGACCACGCCTCGGTCGGCCGCGGCCCACGCGGCAGCCGGAAAGACGCGTCACCACTACAAAGGTGGCGAAGAGAGAGACAACGAGAGCGGCCAAGAGCGGGACAAGAGAGCCAAATCTCCCCGGCGGCGCTGACTTCATTTTCTTGCCAGAGAATCAGCTCGACTTAAGTCCCGCCGGCCTCGGCCGGCCTGGTGGCCTCGTCCACAGCCTTCTTCATTCCGTCTAGGAGGCGGCCGTCAAAGGCAGAGGCCGGGGCGCTGGTCGCCTCCAAAGGGCTCTGTCTCCGTCGCACTCGCGCCGCGCCCCGTAAGGGTGCGAGGGAGAAACGAGCCGTCGGCATCAGGGACCCCGCCCGGGGCGAGGACTGGCGACAAAGAGGGAGGAAGGCCACACAGGGAACATTAAGCACAGGCCAGCCTTGGCTCTTGGCTCAAGCCTTGGCTAAAGCCGGGCCTTTGAAGCGGCCAGGGCTCGTAAATGCACACAACAAACAGCACACGCCCACGCACGCGGGGACGCGGGGCGCCGCTCCAGAGGCCACACCGCCACACCGTTAACCTGGATCCGCCACCCGCCGCGCAAGGATTGAGCCGGGGAAATGGACGGGCCGGGGAGTGTCCTCGGCGTCCTCCCTCAGGCAGGTCACCGTCGACGAGGAGGCCGCGGCCGCGGACGGGGAAGGGCGGCGTAAAAGGGGGGCCGGGCGTTTGGTGACATAAAATCGTGTCCGTCGACTCGCGCCGCCCCTTCGGGGCACGAAAACCCGAGCCGTGGGCCCATCGGGCCCCCCCCGGGGCGGGACGGGCCCAAAAAGGGGTGGAAGGCCACGGCGGGCGTTCCGGCCCCACCGGGGCTCGACCTTTGGTACATGACAGGGTTTTAACGGCCAGGCTCTCAATGAAAAAAGCCCGCCCACGCCCCGCCGCCGCCCGGCCCCGCCACACGCCGGCCGCAGCCCCGTCAAGGTTCCGGAAATGACGGGGCTTCCTCCCCTCCCCGGCAGGCAACCCCAGGGGCCGCGGCCGCGGACAGGGCAAAGGGGTCCCCCGGAATATGGCATCATTGTGCCATTACGTGAGGTGGGACGACCCCCCAAATCTCCTGCCGGGCCGCGCCCGGGTTGGGCTGCAGTGCAGACAGTAGCTACTGGGTCCTCTCTCTTACCTCCCCCACTCGTCGGCCCCCCACAGCGGCCAGGAAGGGTGGGGCCCGGCCCAAAAACCCTCTGGCTGAAGGCCACCCCCAAAACGGGGGTCTTCTGGCTACTGTGGGGCATCTCTGCAGGGAGCGGGGAGCGAGGCGACGAGGCGCTCTTGGGGATCCGCCGGCAGGGTCGCCGACGGCCGTCCGTCGGCTGGGAGGGATAGATGCGGGTCAGGCCCCAGGCCGCGGCCCCAGGCCCGCGGCGAGACCGCGGCGAGGCGGCGGCGCGCGGAGCGGCGAGTCCGCGGCCAGCCTGGCAGTGTCGTTGACCCCGCGGCACCGCCGGCCGGCCAGCCAGCCAGCCAGCCAGCCAGCCAGCCAGGCACTACTCGGAGTGCATCGCCACGCGGTGCCTACTATGCAAATAAAAATGACGCCCATTCAAAGGCCGCCACTCCACTACTAGTGGTCACTGTTGACTCCTCGACGGCGGGCCGACGGCGGCCTCGGCAGCGGGCAGGACGGGCGGCGGAAACAACGGCGACAAAAAGCAGTGAAACTTGGCGGCGGCGCGCTGCACTGTCATCAGAAAGGCGGCTGGCTTTGAGGGAATGGGAAGCTCATCGCGCGATGCCCGCCACTTTCACCGTCCGCCGGCCCTGCCTGGGCACCGCGGGCTTAATGTCGGCCGAGCCCAAAGCCCCGGGGAAAGGCGCGGTGGCCTATGGCAGGGCCCAACTGCTGTCTCTCTCGCACTCGCGGGGCGTGCCATTACGGAGCGAGAGAGACAGAGCGACCGTCAGACCCCGAAGAGGAGACAAGGACGTCAGGCACTTCCACGTGGACGGCCACCACTTTTGGAGAAAAGTACTATACAGTACAGTACATGCGAGGCAGCCTCTTCACAGTGGGCCAGAAGACCGGTGGAGGTGGCCAAACACTCCAAACGCGTTTTGAGCGCCAGAGTCGCTAGACAGGACTCGAACCGAACGTGTGACCCCACCAATGGATTCCTCGTTCGGAGAGCAATCCATTGGTGGGGTCACAAGTTCGGTTCGAGACTTCATTTTGTGACTCTGGAGCTCAAAACGCGTCCAATTTTCACCGCCTCCACCGGTTTTCTGGCCCACTGTGGTCCCCTCGAACATGATGACAAGGACGTCCACGTGACTGGCCACCACTTTTGAGAAAAGTGCCATACAGTGTGGCAGCCAATTCCGGCCGCCGAGCTCCAAGTTCCAAGGCCCCTCGCGACCTACACCGAGGCTCCGGCGAGCTGTTCTCACGTGTATGATTCGCTGACACACGAGCAGGCAGATCGGCTGGCGGCTCGGCTCGGCACGGCGAGTGACAGCCCATCGCGTTCCCACACTACGCCACTCACCGAAGGCGGGATTAAAACTTTTCTAGGCACGGCCTGCCTGCCTCCCTCCAAAGCTTTATATATAACCTTATCGTCTCCCCTCCATAACCGGCGCGGGAATTTTCAACAACGAGAACAACCAGAGATCCACAGCTTAAGTCCGCACCGCCGCGCGGGACCGAACTTGTACAAGCATGACGCCAAACTCGGAGGACTTATCCACGCACGATTCAAAGGTTTTTCTCAAACACTGGGGAGGCTGTCTCGAAGTGGCGCCGCCGGACGAGAGAGAGAGAGAGAGAGAGAGAGAGAGAGAGAGAGAGAGAGAGAGAGAGAGAGAGAGAGAGAGAGAGAGAGAGAGAGAGAGAGAGAGAGAAGGGACGTAACTCGCAAGCTGATCTCATTCAATCCCCCAACTTTACAAACCCAGAGTCGCGCGCCGCGGCTGGGGCGGGCAGGGGGCTGCGGGGGCCCGGCGGGGCGGGGCGGGGGCTTTGTGATGTGGCGAGGGAAGTGGAAGGGTTTAGAAGGGAGCCTGCAGTGCCTGGCAAAGCGGTAGGCCTCGGTCGACGTGTCGGACACAAAGCCGAGGGACAATCGACAGAATTCGGCACCGCAGAGCGATCGGCAGCGCGCGCAGGGCGAGCGAAAGGATTATCGGAGCTTCGACACCAACGCTGAGCGCGACAGTGCGGTGGCGCGGTAGCGCCCGCGGCCGGAGTCTCGCTCGAGTTTAGGAAGGCCTAGTTTAAGGCTATCTGCCCCAAGATAAACCCAAGATTGAAACTGAGGGGCGTCGGGGAGAGAGAGAGGGGGGGCAGCATCGCCCCTTGTATCAGTTCGGAGGTCAAGTCACCCGGCAGACACTTCCATCAGACGACACGAAACAACGGCACGCCATGCGTGTGCGTGTGTGTGTGTCTCCTTATCTATGTAGGTTGGGCCGGGCGGGGGTGCACTCGGCACTCCGTGTGGGGTGGGTGGGGCCCCCCCACGCCGAGACACCATAGGGACACCAGGGACGCCGACAAGAAGGCACCGGGCGACTCTCGCCCTTGATACGGCGACCCACCGAGCGTTATCACGAATTCCTCGGATTCTTTTCTTTTGGCCGCCCTTTCGACCAATTATGAATCGCTTCAGATAAATCAAGACGCGAATTTTCGCGCGCTGCGGCGCTGCCTCCGCTGCCCCCCCCCCTTCCCCAGCGCGCCACCTGACGCAACAGAGAGCCAGGTCCAGTCTGGAGCACAGCAGCCGAGCAGAGCGGTTCAGATGGATCGTTTGGCCGCTCTGTCGCACTCACGGGGCGTCCCGTAGGGGAGCGAGCGAGACAGAGCGACGAAGGGACCCTTCGGAGTCGAGCCGTCCACACGTACTCGAGGGGCACGGCCGAGCAGGCTGGCCAGGACACGCCAGGACACGCCGCGCAATCTGCCGCCACCACCCAGAGCCAGGACTCAGGACTCAGGGCCGAGTTCGAAGTTCGATCCGGCCGACGACGAGGACGCCGAGTGCTGCACGGTGAAGACCGATGGCGGCGGCCCAAATTCTAGACGCGTTTTGAGCTCCAGAGTCGCTCAACAGGACTCGAACTAAGCGTGTGACCCCACCAATGGATTCCTCGTTCGCAGAGCAAGCCATTGGTGGGGTCACACGTCCGGTTCGAGTCCTGATTAGCTACTCTGGAGCTCAAAAAGCGTCTAGAATTTTGGCCGCATCCACCGGTCGTCGGGCCCACTGTGCTGGAGGCTCGCTGGAGGCTCGCTGGAGGACGACGAGTCCCGACCGGTTGACACCCAGTGCGGTGGCCGGCCGGACCAGATGCCCGGCAAAATACACCCCTCGGGCCTCGAGCCTGGGGCCCCGTCGCCCGGCGTGGCCAAGATCGTCATGGCCCCGGCGGGATGGTACGAGCACCAGGCCGCGCAGGTGCGGTGGCGGCGTGGCGGCGCGTAGCGAGCTGCAGCGGCGGGGCGGGGCGGGGCGGGGCGGGGCGTGGTGGGGCGTAGCGTTGCGGTCGCGCGGGTACCAACAGTCTGCCGATGGCCGGTGCGCCGCGCCGCCAGGCCGCCAGCCGCCACCATGTTGTTGACCTGCAGTGCAGCCTCAGTGCAGTGCTGCGCCGCTACGCGCCGCCACCGCCACTCTAACGCGGCGAGCTCTTAAACCCAAACGTTTCCCAGGGTAAACAAAAGGGACGTTTTCTCAGCGGACACACGCGGATCCGTGCCAATTAGCTGTCCACCGGCGGGCGCGCCGCGCCGCGACTCCGCCGGCCGGGAGGACTACGGAATGGAAATGGGCCTTAATGGGCATAAAGTGCCATGGACAGGGAACTCGGAGTTTTTCCCACAGCGCCGACAAATATTTATGTCGTAACGAAAGGCGGTGGCGCGAAAACCAGTCTGGCCGGTGGTATTTACCTGCGTAAATGACGCATATCCCGACTCAATGAAAACACTGGCAGAAAAGCTGCCGCTTCGCACCGGTTTTCCACTCGCAGCCTTCCCCGATTGCGATCCCACGGGAAGGCAGGCGGCGGTCGAATCACTAACAACACACTGCTGGGGCGTTTTCGGCACGGCACACCACACTGCTTGCTGCTCGTCACAGAGCTGGCCACTTGACACCGTCCAGGGAATGACCAAGTAAACACTGACCCTACGCCGCACATGAGTGGGCCGACGAGGCGTATCCTAGATCCACAAAGCACCGACACACAAACACACACACACAGAGACACTCGCGCGCGGCGCAGGGCGTCACAGCACGCGGTGCGCTACGATAGCTCGCGACGGCCGCGGCGACAGCGGGGAGGCACTCGGAGTACGTCCGTGCCCGGTCGCATCTCGTCCCTCACTGCCCCACTCACTCCGTCCGCGCTCCGCGCTCCGCCGCTCCGCCCGCCGCTCGCTCGCTCCGATCCGAGCCGCGACGCTCCAGCCGAGCCGAGCCGAGCCGAGCCGAGCCGAGTCCAGCCCGAGCGCAGAAGCCGAAGCGCCCCGCGCCAAGCGCTGAGTACAGTCGCCTCCTCGCTGTGTGTGTCGTGTCGTGGCGGAGCGCGGCGGCGGCGGCCCCCCGGCTGCCCCGTTCCCTGCGCTCCGTTCGCCCTGTCTCCCTCCCAGTTGCATGCGCCGTCCGACCGACAGACAGTCCATACAACTTAAAGCAGCCGCCACCGTGTCTTTTCATCGAACACTCCTCCTCGCTCCTCGTTCCTACTCGTTCCCGGCCCTCGGCGCCCTCGGCTCCCTGCGTGTCGCGCCGTCATTCAAATTTGGCGCGCTTTTTCCTCCTCGACGCTCCGAGCCTTCTGCACGCGAAACAAAAACGACACGAGACGGGACGACGCTCACGGCTAACCACTGAATTCGCAATTAGAGCAATTTAGTCGTGATAATGAGCCGTCATCAGGGGGGTTGGGAGGGGGAAGGGGGACACGACAAGCAGACGACGCGACGGCCGCCACAGAGCAATTAGGCAGCCAGGCCAGGCCTACCAATCAGACGTCGCAGCTGCAATCCCCGGCCAGGCCACCATGGCACAGCTGCAGACTGCAGCTGCCTGATTTCGGTCCGCCTATTGTCGAAACGGCAGCGACATGCAGTGCAGCCGCTTTGATTTGAGGATCGCCAGGAGGGACCAACAACACTGCGTCAGCAACCAGCAGAACAGTCATCGGTGGAGGAGAGACTAGGAAGCCCGTTGTTGACACTGCGTTCGTTCCGATGACTAGTGATGTTGCTATGAATTTTGTTGCTATAAGATCAATGAAATTTTATGTAGAAGACGGAGGGTAATTTTGTTTGTATCGTACTAAGACATCATTCTTTAGAAAAATACATGCCAGAAATGAGATGAAAAGGGTAAACTTGCGTTGATTGGCCGTGACGTGAACCCTGGATGCGTCCCCCAGGCCTCCAGGACGAGGTTATTAAGTAAGCGCAATGGAAGTCGGCCTTTGTGTGTTGAGTTGCCTACCCTGCCGTTGGCGGGCGCTTTCGCCGCGCGAGCCCGGGGAGCCGAGCCGCTCGACACGGTCGACTGCCCACCGTTCCGGACAAGCTTTGTTCTAGCGCGGATAAGCCAGTCGGGTTTAAAAGTGAGTGGTACACATTCAACCAAAATAAGTCTCAACTCCCAAAAAATGTCAATTAATCGGATTGACCTCCTAAAAGGTAGGTTTTTGTCCTTAAAGTAAACCCCTGTCAAATGGTCCCGGCGGGTTTTAATTTGATGATGAAGTGGAATTCACAGTCTTTAAGGTGCAAACTTTAATCGATTCGCTTAGAATTGTTGACGTTACTAATTAATTACTGTATGAAATCTCGACACTAAAAGTTAGTCCTTTCGCCACTGAACGAGCTTTTTGCTAGTCTCATTCGTTTTGGGCTTATCGGTTTCTAGCAGTGTGCCTCCTCAGCAGAGAGAGGCGCAGAAGACGCGACGTCGACTTTGCCTGCAGAAGGCCGTCCGGGCCCCAAAAGCCTCCACCGCGCGGCGCGTGGACACGGCAACAGCCACACGCGGCACACCGCACACCCTTCACTCCTTCATCAACAACTCCAGCGCCGTGCCGTGTGCCGTTAGCGAGTTCGGGCTGCCTCAAATAATTTATCGCCCAGTGGCACGAGGGAAAGGGGAGGGGTGGTGTGAGAAAAGTTGCACGCCCCTCCCTCGAGGCCGGGTTACCTCGCCGTTGCATGCCACTGTTCTCGCGTCCTCGTCACTCGCACTGGCAGTGGCACTGGCAGTGGCACTGCCCCCCGCGCCGCCATGCCGAGTGCGAGAAGGATGCCGCTAGCGCGCTTATCGCGTCCGAACGCCGAATGCTCTAATTGACCTCGTCCACGGCCGGCACGGCCAGCAGCGCCGCCATTTCCTCTGCAGGGCGCGGCGGCACTTACACTGAAAGAAGGTCAATTGACTATACGCTGAAATAAAGTTCATTTCCCTAGACAAGAGCTCAATCGACTTGGCTGAGAAAAAGATAATTTTTTTCTGAGTCACAATGTTCAATCGACTTGGCTTCAGTTCATTTCCTCAGTCAAAAGCTCAATCGAATGAGCTGAATTGAAATTTCCTGAGTATTTTTGCCGACAAAGTAAAGTTCTGTTCAGTGCGTTAGTCGTTTTTCCTTGCCTACCATTTATTTGACAGTGCACTGCCTAGTCATATTGACTGACGCAGGTGACCTGCTGAAGCGAGCGTCCCACCAGGGTGGCGGCCTCGGTGGCGGTGTAACCCGGGTGGAGCCGTGACACCCCGTCTCTTTTTGTTCTGGATTCTGGTTTGGGATTCACGGTGGGGCCGTGGGACGTGGGGGGGGGGGGTGAGCGGGAGGTACTCGGGGGGCTGGCTGTGCCCCGGAGCGACGGGAGGTACCCAGGGGTGGGCGAAGGCGGAGGGAGGCGGTCCTCAGGGCCGAGACGTCGAGACGTTGGGCGGTACTAGAGCTAGTCAGCGAATTCCGAAGCGTGTCGCGCTGAGCTCGGCCCGGTGCGCCCTACCCCTCAAGGTCACCGCCTTTTTCCTCTCTCTCTTTTTATCTCGGCGCCGGCCGGGTCAGCCGGCAGACCCAGGCCCAGGTAGGCCGGCGGAGGATAAGATGAGATAAGGGAGAGGGGGGCACATAGTGACACGGGGCTAGTAGTGACAGTTCGTGTTTCGTACTGTTCCCGCGCGATTTCTGCCCTCATAATTTTTCATAAGCTTTGTTTCAAGTCCAGAACGATGTTTTGAGAAGGTGGTGGAAGAGAGAGAAGTCGGAAGGGCGTCATTAATTTTGGGAAATTTGACCCTCCGGAAACGAGGCATAACCTAAACTTTCTTTCCATATTTGAAGTCCTGTAGCATGTCTTTAATGATATTTGAAAGCTTATCATATGTTTCTCCGTTTGCTCTACATGTCAATACGTCATATCGACCAAATATTTAATGTATCAGTCAATCTGGATGAAGGAGGTTAAGTTCCAAAGTTTACTTTGTCTCATGGGGTAAATAGTGACAAAAATTCGGGGTAAATAGTGACACTCGTCTACTGGCATTTTTGAATTAATATGCCAAATTTGTGACTTTTGTTTATGTTTTTTATTAGGCTGTTAAGTTTTTGGTCTTTATGTTAGGTTTGGACCATTTTAGGTTTGAGGTGAAGCGTTACAAATTTTTTTGAGGTCTGGTCTCAATTCTTGTCGAAGAAACTTTGCGCTCAATATGAAATTTTAGCTTTTCTTAATTAACTGGAAAAGTGACTGTTCCATGTCCTCCAGGATCATTCTACCAGTACAAAGAAGTATTTTAAGTAACAAAATATGAATGTTAATACTCTGAACATTAAATCTTCTTGTAAAAAAAAATTAAACGGGTATTTTATAAAATGATCAACCTGACCTAACCTAACCTAGATGTAGGGCCTTAAAGAATATTAGCCGTCAAACGTTGTGGAAGGGCTGTCTGTCAGTGAGAGTACACAAGAAGGGCAGCTGCTAACATATGGTAAACGGCAAAGCCGCTGCTCCTCACATTTGGAAACCCCTAAACATCTGTATCCTCTTTGATAGAAAAATATTGAGTTTTTCCTCTTAATTTAGATTTGGCACTGTTAACATTTCAGAAAACACTTAAAAACATTTTATAACTATTTTGTTATGTCAAGAATGGAGGTTTATCAAAGGAAATTGATAGTGTCACTATGTACCCCCAAGCTGTCACTATTTACCCCAGGGTGGGGTAAATAGTGACAGTTGCAAGGTTTACCAGAAAAGCTTTTGGAAGGGATTTGTGTGACTCAGACAACTCGAATGCTACCTTTTCTTACTCAAATAATACCAAACTTCAGTTTTATTTTTAAAAAATGGGAAAATGTCCATTAAGACGGCTGTAGGACCGAAAAGAAATTATCTGTCACTATTTGCCCCCCTCTCCCTTACATTTTGGGCAACGGCACGTGCGACACGCCCGTAAAAAAAACAGACGGAAAAAGGGAACATTGCGCAAGGCCGTTAAGGTTGCACGGCACGGCCGCGTCTCAATGTCGTAAAATTCCGCCACCCTTTCCTTTTTTTCTTCACCCCTTTATTTCGAAATGCAAGTGATAACGGGCGGCGGGTGGATTTACGACTCGTGGCCTCGTCCTGCTTGAGTCTCCCGTCCTCCGTGGCGGAGGCCGAGGCCTGTTCGCGGCACTGCGAGTGGCTCCCAAGGTCAGAGGTCACAGCGTCGCCACCTGGCGGCCCGACCACCACCTTTCAGCGCCGCCCACGCCACTGCCGACGCCCACGGGCCCAGGGCACGCCAGGGCACGCCAGGCCGCCGAAGGCTTCTTGTCGAGTTCCCAACTAAAATGTTTTGCCGAGTTATAATTAGCGAGACGGCCTTACAAGCGGTCCACGTGGGGCGTGCGGCCCCCCCCACACGCCCCCCCCCCCCCCCCCCGGCTGGGCCCGCGCCGGGTACCTCGGTCGGTACCTTCTTCTGTGTGAGTTGCGGCCCTCGGGACCGGCTCAAGTGCCCCCGAGCTGGGGTCCGGACGGTTCGGATGGGGCGTGGGTAGCTTGAAATTTCATGTCAGAATGGTCTCCGGGGCTGCCCCGCCTAGCCCGCGCTCGGGAACGGCCGCCCCGAACTCGC